CGCGACGGCGAGGAGGTGACGACGGCGGCGGAGGACCCGCGCTCCCACCGCGTCCTCCTGCCCTCGGGCTCGCTGTTCTTCCTGCGCGTGGCCACCTCCAAGAGGGATAGCGACGCCGGAACCTACTGGTGCGTGGCCTCCAACATCCACGGCGCCACGCGCTCCCACAACGCCACCCTCACCGTGGCCACGCTCGCCTACGACTTCCAGAGCCAGACCGACCCCGTGGTGAGGGCGCGCGTCGGTGACTCTCTGGCCCTGCCATGCCGCCCGCCCAAGGGCTCTCCGCCCCCCGAAGTCACCTGGCTCAGGGACTCCCACGAGGTCACCAACTCCAGCCGGATCTCCGTGACACAGGCGGGCGATCTTGTCATCAGTCAGGCCGTCGAGGAGGACTCGGCCTCCTACGTGTGTCGCGCCCGCAACGCCGCGGGCGCCCGGGAGTCAACGCCCACCAAGCTCACCATAATGAGTAAGTGTCCTTCCCGTTCCCTAAGATCCATTGAATAGCTGTGAGCATATGAATTCCCCCTAAAGCCTTCGTCCTCAGCCCTAACGGAGTTCTCTTCCCCGCAGCGCCGCCCTGGTTCGAGGAGCGTCCGGCGAACGTGACCGTCGCGTCGGGCGTGGTGGTGGAGCTGGCGTGCCGTGCCCGAGGCTCGCCCACGCCCACGGTCACCTGGCGGCGTCTCGACGGCAAGATGCCGCTCGGCCGCACTATGATCGAGGACCAGCGGCTGGTGCTGGACCACGTGGCGGCTGCCGACTCCGGCGTGTACGTGTGCGAGGTGGAGAGCGAGGCAGGGATTGCCGCGGCCAGGGCAACTCTCACAGTGATCGACGCCCCCGAGTTCGCTCAGCGGCCGCAGAATATTCAGGTGGTGGCTGGCCAGAGCGCCAGGCTCTCGTGCAAGGTCGAGGGCGACCCCAAGCCTCTCCTGCTGTGGCGGCTTCCCACCCAGGACAGGACTGCCCTGCTCGCCGCGGGACAAAGCAGCGGCCACGCCTCCGTCGCCGACCAAGGCCAGACTCTCCTGCTCAATGACGTCACCACACTTGAAACCGGAACCTATTCCTGCTGGGGCGTCAGCAGCGGCGGTGGCGTCAGTGCTCATTCAGAGGTAGTCGTTGTAAAGGCATACCCTCCACCTGTGGTAGGCATAGGACCACAGGATCTTAAAGTGTCTCCCGGCGTGAACGTCGTGTTCCCTTGCGAGGCAGTGAGTGAGGCAACCCAAGTGTCAATATCGTGGTGGCACCAGCCTACAGCCTCTCATCCAGTTCGGCATCTTTCTAAAGGCAGTAAAAGTGGCAGAGTTTCTATTCTCGTTAACGGTGCACTTGTGATCAGGGACGTTCGCGTCAGTGATGCAGGAACTTATAGATGCCACATCAGCGCTAGCACGGGTTCCATAAAGAGATCAGCAGTACTGCAAGTAGTAGAAGCAGCCGAAGAATACCGCCCCTTCCTGCTGCCGGCGCCGCCGTCCAAGCCTCGCCTCGTGGCCGTCAACCAGACTGCTGTGCATCTGAGCTGGCTGCCCAACTCCCAGATGGGCGGAGGTTCCGATCAGACGTACACGGTGGAGTTCTGGCGCCAGGGCTGGGAAGAGTGGCGGGTAGCGGACGCCCTCATCTCGCAGGAGTCGTGTGTGGTGGGCGGGCTGACGCCTGGCCACACCTACACCTTCCTGGTCCGTGCCGTCGACTCGCGAGGGGCGTCGTTCCCGAGTCCCTGGTCCGACCCGGTCACGACCCGCTCTCCTCGCGACCCGAGTCTCACGGAGGAGGAGGTCCGTCACGTCCGCCGCCGCCTCTCGCGCCTCGCCGTCACGCTCACTGACGCCACAGTCACCACCCCCGACAGCGTCCTTCTCGGCTGGGAGTTCCTCGCGCTGGCGGACGAGGCCGTCGAGGGAGTGCTGGTGTACGCCGTCAGCGACTCGGGCGCCGTGCAGGTGGCCACCGTGTTTGGCTCATCGACTTCTCACCTTATGCAAGGTCTCCAGGCCAATACTCCTTACATCTTCTTCATTGTCCCCTTCTGGCGCAGCATCGAAGGCACACCATCTAACTCATATTCGCTGCAAACCCCGCAAGATGGTGAGTACTCCTTCGTTTATTTACCGCTATTATGCAAAATGTATGCAATTACTGTCCTCATATAGTTGTCGTAAGCCAAACCTTGATTCGAGTACTCTATATATCTATTAAATATAAACTTTATCTTCCGCAGTGCCATCAGTCGCTCCCACTGACGTACGCGTTACGCCACTCGAGGAAGGATCTGTGCTCATCACGTGGTCGTCGTTGGAGCCGGAAAAAGCCAGAGGAGAGATCGTTGGTTACCAGGTCATCATAAGTCACAATACTACATATACGACAGAAACCGTCGTTAATCCGTGGTTAGACGCTATTGGCTTAGTTCCAGGTCAGCTATACACTATCCGCGTATCTGCTGTAACGAAAGTAGGCCCCGGTCCCTTCACCGCGCCTTTGT